TTTATTTTCCTTCTTCCTTTTCTTCTCATGAATATGTTGACTTTCTATACTTTAATATGAAATTTATACTTTTCTTATGAAAATCATGAATAATTGTTAAAGAAATATGGTTATGGTACCTAGGGAACTACCCTAGGATCTATGTTTTTAACATAAAAAATCCATCGCCTAGGCGCGACTAGGTGACAAGGCGCCCCCCAGTCGCCTAGCCTCACCTTGGCGCCTTGAAAACTATGTTACTTCCATGTCTCTAGTTAACCATCTGAATTTCTTCCTTTCATTATTGTACATCCACATCTTCATTCCCTCATCCTGTAGCCAGTTAGTTTATCACCAGTTTTGAATCTCCCTCCACACTTAGCTTGTTGATGTGTAGGGTTTTCGCCCTTTGTATGCCTTCCATTACAGTCATGACTTCTGCCCTCAATGAGTCTCCTTCCCCTGCCGGCCCAGAATATAGTGCAATAAGTCTGCCCCTTTCATCTCTAAATACACCTCCAATGCTGGAGGGACCTGGATTCCCTTTGCTACTACCATCAAAATTTAATTTAATAAAGCCCCTGTCCGGTGGGCTCCAATGATGAATTGTGACAGCCTTAACAGTAGAAGAATCTGCCATTGCCTTCCAGTTCCTCAATATATCAGTTGCTGAAACACTAGAGAAATCTTTCAGGGACTTCAGCCAGTGCACCACTTTTAGCCAGCCTATTATTGCCCTTGTCTCCTTGAGTCGCTTTCCACAATAAAGTCTCTATATCCCATTGGCCTTCTCAACCTTAAACCCTGAATTACTGCTAGAATTTCAGCCTCTAATTCCTTTGTTCTGTTGGTCCCGAGGATATAGCTTTCACTTCTCCTTCATGATGCATAAACACTCCCTCACTCCTGAAGTTCCTGGATTGCCTAGGCTACATCCACCAAAGTTTAAGTAGTTCCTTGGGGGTGGATTCCTGTGCAATTGGTTCTAGCTGAAGATAACGATGCCACTTGTTGTCATCCCATTGTGATGTCCTCAATAGAGCATGCACCAAAGATAGATATTGTTTTCACCCGATATACCACCTTCATTTTTATGTTCTCCATCGAGGTTTCCTTGGTATGTGTTTCCAGTCTAAAGATTCTTGCATTCATTCCAAAATGAACCAAAAGATAGCTGCTCTTGTACATTTCCAGTTTTCCACAGTATCCTTCTTCTCTTCATTGGGCATAAAATATGTCATTAGAAAAATCTCACATTTTGGGGAGTTGTGCACTTGCATTCAAGAAGAATCCAAAAAACCTCCATATAGAAGAAGAATAAGAGAAGGAGAATAAAAAATAAATGATAGTTTCACCAATCACCATTAGCCATGCACGAAAGATGACCATAGGGTGAAATGCACCACTTCTGTCTCCTTTTACAAAGGACCCCACATGTATTGATAGTTTGATCTTTTGATATAATACCTCCCAACAGAAGATCCTAATCTTTGGTCAAATTTGTCCCTTCCAAATGTCCTTTCCCTAAAAATCTCTAATGGCCAAATGTGATGGAACAATGGACTGAAAAAAAAGGAGGCACATGTCAAAGTACCAAAGGAGTTGGCTGTCCAAATTCTACTATCCAAGATAGACACCTAAAATGCCATGCCAACAAGAAGAGTTATTAATTCCAAAGCCAAATTCCTTTCACATTCCCTTAATCCTTGCTAGACCTGCTCATGGGCCAGGTGGCCAGACAGGCCGGGCTTTCACATAAAAGCCCAGCCTAAGTCTATGCACAACCTAATAATGTTTTATATAATATAATATTATATATATATATATTTTTTTTTTCTTTGTTCCTCTTCTCTTTTCAAGTCAAAGTGAGATATTTAAGTATTTTTTGGTTTTGGTGTCATTTAATATAAATAAATCAGTTTTATTGTTGGATAAAAATTAAAAAAAAATCTTAAAATCTTCTTGCCCAACTTCTTGGTCAAGCTTTGGGCTTCAAGCTTTATACAAGGCTCGGGCTCAAGCTCAAGATCTAGGCCCGGTGGTCAGGTCGGGCTTAAGCTCAGGCCTAACATGTTTTATTAATATAGAGGCAAAGCCTGGTCCAGCCCGTGAACAAGTCTAATCCTCGCCTAAGTCCCGAATAGGGTTGCAACAAAAACGATCTCTAATCGAATAGTTTGGGCTTGAGTTTGAATCTCAAGGCAAAATTGATTATTTATTCAAACTCGAGCTCAACTAATAAAAAGTTTGGCTCCAAAGCTCATGAGCCTGGCTCGATTATATATACGCCCCAAGGCATATGCCAAAGGAGCTAACACCTCTGAGGCGTACGCCTCATGCACACCTCATATAAAAAGACAAAAAAAAAAGGAAAGGAAAGGAAAAGAAAAGAAAAGAAAAGAAAAGAAAGGGAAGGGAAAGAAATAAAGAGAAGAAAAAAAAAGAGAGAAAATGAAAGGGAAGGGAAGAAAAAGATAAGGGGAAAGAAAGTGGTCTGCCATGTCAACTAGTGCTATGCATCTTTTTTCTTCTTAATATAAAAGATTTTTATTAAAAATAAAGAAAAAATGAGATCCCTCCTTCCTCTTCTTATGCCTCTTACATTCTAAACTACGCCCCATGCCTCTAGGTAGTCAAACGCCTCGCATCAGACCTCTGCATTTTAAAACATTGATATATACATACATATATATGTATTATATATATGTATGTATTATATAGAATACAAAAAAAAATTATAATATATTGTGAAAATATCTTTTTATGTAAAATATATTTTTATATTCCATTTTTGAGCTTTCAAGCTGAACTCAAGCTCATCGAATATTTAGTTGAATCGAGCTTGAAAAAGGAAATAGAGTTTGAATCGAACTCAAACTTGAGCTTAATAGTATTTTAGTCGAATCGAGCCATCACATATAGAAGTTCAGCTCAACTTGATTGAGTAGACTCGATTGCACCCTTCCTTGTCCAACCCCGAACGATCAATTGACACATTGTTAGACTTTTTTTTGTCCAATGATAGAACATAGATGCTAATAAATATATCTTCAAGCGGGCATATTGTTTCTCAACTTCCCAACACTCAACTCTACAACATTGCAGATCGTACGACTAATTTATAAAAGTTTACTTTTAGCCTAAGCGACATTCACCTATTACATTAAAAGTTTACTTTTAGCCTAAGCAATATTCACCTGTTACATAAGACTCATAAGCACCTTTCCATTTTGCCCATTGTGCCATAATTATATGAGCAACATCCTTCTCGATCTCTCCCTTGTTAGTATTGTTGAAACTAAGATAATGGAAGAGGTCACGGTAAATCATCTCATGGTCTCCAATCCTAGTGTATCTCAATTACATTGCATATATTCTATTTTAGATCTACTTATTTAAGAAACCTCTTGTTTCTAAGATATTTTTTCATAAACTTAATTTTATATTAATCCCTTGTTAGTTTAGTTTCATCAATTAAGACCATGTCATCAACAAACAACAAGCACCATGGGACCTCCTCTTACATAATTCCTTCAGTACATTTATATTATTGTTATATCCCATCAAATTTTATGTCTACATGTGATTTGTTTAATTCCAAACAAAAACAAGAGAGATTTTGCATGGAATCTTGAAAGAAAAAAAATGGACATCTAATCAAATAACCCATGGCAAACCTTTGCCAAAGTACAGCTCAGATATAGAGGGGAAGAGACAACACAGTTCTCAAACTCTGCTTCACTTTATTTTCAAATGTTGAACTCAACCATTTTGCTTCACTTTACTTTCAAGATCTATTTGTTCTTTTCTTCTTGCTAGGATAGCCTCCAAATCTATCCTTCCAACATGGCAGAAGTAATCTAAGATACAATTAGCTTCTAAGCATGACTTTCAAGCTGCTAGGTATCTTCTGGATGAGAAAGAATAAATTGAGATTTTTGGCACAATCAACAGGGGAATCGGTGAATTACTACAAAAGAAATGATACAGATAGATCGTCCTATGAACTTCAGCTTTCTTTATTAGTCCTTCCCCCTGTTTTCCAGGGCGTTATGGGGATGGATGTTGGGCTTGGACCCGGATATTGTCGAACATGCTTCACTAGAAAATCACAGAGCTTTGATATTTCAAACAACTAAAATAAATGTCAGGTACTTAACAAAAAAATAAAATAATGTCGAAATTTCACTTTTTTCTTCACCTTTTTATTCTGTATATAACATTATAACTTATCACTAACAACGGAAAAGTAAAGGAAAAGTGAGACAAGAACTTCGGTTTGGAAAGGTATTTAGAAATCATTGGAAATGGAACAGTTCCATTTGATTCCATATGGCTTCCAAAAGCCCAGTTCGAACAATCAACCACGGTATAAGATCACTCTCAAAACAAGTAACGTTGTTGGCTTCTAATTTTTTTCTCACACACTTTCTTTTCAGAGTTCAGAAAACCCACTTATTAGCAAATGAAGGCTAAGAGAGATGCATCAAATTGAAGTGCTACTTTGTATAAAAAATTGCTGAATTAGATATAGATATTCCACGTACCAGATGATTGACGATATGAGAACCTGAAGTGTTCCCCCGCGAATTACAGAACCACTTCCGGCATGACGGCACGTTGCACCTAACAACACAAGCCGGATTTTGGACCCCACAATACCGACAGGCATGCTCCGTAAAATCACCCTTCCCATACTCGTAATTCTCATCCTCACCGGTCTCTTCGAAGCTCAGACCACTCATTCCTGACGCTATGGCATCCACCGTAGCCTGATTGCTGCCGCTGCCGCTACTGCTTCCGCCTCTACCCTTCAACACACTTCCAGGAGCAGAAGAAACAGCGCCACCATCGGCTTGAAGGTCGACACCACGGTCAGCAGAATCTGACACAGAATCCGGCGTTGGAGGCCACACGGACGACCTGATCGGCTGTGATAATTCTCGGAATTCCGGATAGTCATAGTCGTCACCCTGCGTATTGAATTCCAGGAAGGTATAGGCGTCTCCGCCTGTATCAGGCTGTGATGCCGTCTCGTAAAGATTGTTTACAACCGTCTGCGCAGCCATGGATCCCACCAAAACCCTAGCTCCTCCTCGCTCTCTGTCTTTGGCTGTAATTGAATTAGGGTTAGGGCAATGTAAAGGTTATGTGATAGGGTTTTCTACTTCGCCGATGGAGATGAAAGTGAAATTGGTTAGGATTAGGGTTTGACGAGAGGAAGAAATGTGAGAATGAAGAAGAGGAGCGTAGGAGACGAAGGAAAATAAAGGTTTGAAGTTGGATGCATCTTATACAACAGAGGAGAAGATTTGACGTAAGAGAATAAAGAGAGTAGGAGGAAAGAGGGAACAGAGGATGCCAGATGGAATAAAGTTTTAACCGTGGTTAAGTCCGAGGTTCCGTCGTAACATAACCATCTCCTTTTTGCTTTGAGGCAAAAAAAAAGTAGGAAAAATCTATGCTACCGCAAAGACATGGCACCGGAATAGTTTTGAACAATCAAAACCCCACGTCAATTTTAATAAATGCCATCTGAGTTCATTGGGTGCAAGTTTTTCCGGTATCGAACCCTAAAAAGTAAAAACAATTGAGGTGGTGTGTATCAACAAAATACTTTCCAATACCCGATGTTGATAGGGTATTGTAACGTGTTTTGGCTGGTAGAAGATCCATGGTATTGATGAATCTGGTATCGCTAAATCTCGCACTTTAATTTTGTGGGACCGGCCAAATCAAGAATTGGGATGTGCTCCTCAGGGATACATCTCATCGTGTTTTGTAACATCTCCCATGAAGGCTATGTTTGGTTTGAAAGGAAAGGTAGGAAAAGTAGGGAAATTCATACAAGATTTATAAAGATTTCTTTACCTTTTCTTTCCTTTCCTTACTTTTTCCTTTAAACCAAAAATAGCCTAAGGGTGAGATACAAAAACCTCCAATCATAAAAACCTCTCCCATGGTTTCATTGTAGCAAAAACCTTCCCTTTATTTTTGAAAAAATTGACAAATATCTCCATTTCGTCAAGACCAAGATGAAACGTTAAATTGATAATCATTTTTTCAGAATACCTATTTTACCCTCTTATAAATTAATGTGCATCTATTTTCACTAAAATACCCCATATAACTAATCATAAGAGAAATATTGTTCATTGTTCTCAACTACCCAAAGCACTAGAGTGGTGGAACCTACTCCAATCTACACCACTAGTCTCTCTCTTTTTCATTCTTCTTCTTCTTCTTCTTCTTACTATGTGAACATAGTAGTGGTGGCTGAAACAGTTTAGAAGAGAGCTCGAAGCTCAAGGAACCAAGACCGTGTTTATACTTTTTTTTCGCATTTTTGTTCTCTTTCTCGCTCTCTCACAAAAGGATCAACTGAATAAGGTTTTCTAGCTTGGGTTTCTTTAATTTTTGAATTTCTACATAAGTTGAAGTAGCAGTGATTGTAGGTACCAAAAATAGAAATAAAGCCGACAGTTGTCTTAAAGGCTATTCTAGTTGGAGGGATAGCTGCATTTGAAAAAGTGGTCGATGCAATGAAGGTTGTAGGTGGAGTAAAGTTGGGGGTTGCAGCTACTACCATGCTAGTAGCAGCAACTGCAACTATGGCATAATCTAAACGGGAATCAAATGATGCTAGCAAGTAACCTTAACAATGTCATTGACAGAAGGGTAAAAATGTAAGTATACACGCTTTCCGTCTTGATCGTTGACGGAAGGGAGGTATTTGTTGAGTTTTTCAAAAATAGAATAGAGGTTTTTAATAAAGTGAAACTATAAGGGAGGTTTTTATGATTGTCAGAAACTTTAGGGGAGGTTTTTGTATTTTACCCAATAATAAATAAAGCAAGAGAGTTGTTCCCAATATGCAGCCTAGACATGCTGTGAGGTCGGTGTGAGGAGCATATCCGAACTCCAATGATCCTATCTGTTTTGTTTGTAAAGGTTTCCCTACCTTTTCCTTCATTTCCCAACTTTTTCCTTCAAACCAAATACAACCTAAAATACTTTGCTGGAAGTTGAGATTTTCTACCAACAAAACACGTTCTAATCCTCACCAAAATAATCTCACACTCCACATCTCACTATGAAACTAGGACCCATCATAAAAGTGGGGCCTGCTATGTATGAGATGTGTGGTGTGAGATTATGTTGGTAGAGGGTTGGCAGATGATCTGGACTCCTTTACTGGTAGTTTTGTTCCAAAAAAAAAGAGCTCGGATTTCCAAAATCAAAACCCTTATTCACCCTATGCCCAAATGGAATATTAAAGTAAAAACTTTAACACACTCTCAAAGCATAACCGTCCAACTACATGTAATAGTATTTCTTGCAAGTACAAGCTATGTACACACTTAGAAAACATAGGAATTCATACACACATCGTGAGCATTTTCCCAAAAAATTAATATTTGTACATTGATAAACATCTCCCATAAGTTCGAAATACATGTATAGATGATATTTTTTATGTGTGGCTGAATGGTGTGTACAAAGTTTTTGACATGTTTGGAACCAATTTTGTTTCCTTAGAGGCATTTTTCTCAAAAAAATGGGGTTTTCTATTTGATACCATTGTTGTTGCCGCCACAGCAAAATGGTAAAAATGGTGTTTTCTCGTACATCACCTTTCCCGAATTCAAGGGCTTGGTTTAAGAAATTTTTTTTTTTCAAAAATGGCTATACCAAACATTAGGCATTTTCTAAAAAAAAAAGGATTTCCAAACGTGGCATTGATGCAAAACACCTTCTTTATTTGGGGGAGATGCACACTCATGGTCTCAATGGACCAAGATTACCATTGACAAATAAGTTCCTAATCCACGCTAGCAAGATCACACCAAGAACTTCTGCAGTGTGCTAGATAATCTACTCTATATTGTATGGCATTGGTCTCGTGATTCTGATGTTGATGAGACATGTGGCATTTTTTTTGGAAATAGAACAAATACATATATGTACAATTCAAATACATGCAAAATAATACAAAATACAAAGTTCTGCGCTCTACATATTTTTATTTGTACTCCTTCCAAACCGAACTTTAAAATCTATTTGATAAGAAGATAAATTTATCAATGCAAAACTAACCTAACTTTACAATTTATATAAACCGTCTTACACTCTACATATTTATTGCATTCACACATATTTGCATTGTTTCCAAACGCAGCCTTAGGAAAATTCATTCAATTCCAAAGCAAGAAGAGATGCATACCTCATTACCTCACATGTAACTTGTAAAATGGGTTAGTCGCTAGACTATGATACCAGAAAGACATGATACTTGAAAAATTTATAGTGAATCAATTGGTATTATAAAAGAGGTGATCAATTAGGTGGTGTTATCAAAACTCACAAGGTGCTTTGATTTGTTAAAGCTCTTCCAGAATCATAGATTTTTCTTGGTAAAATATACATTTAACATAAATAGTACTAAAATGAAAAAATAAAGTATATTAATTATAGTATTACCAAAAACTAAAGAAAAAAACCAAAAGAAAACCGAAGTACCTCTCACAGCCTGGAAGTATTTGTTTTTCTTTACTAAATGCATGTTTTAATATACCACTTTACCATGGCATGTGATAGTTGGATCAATTGAGTAAAAATAATAGTTGTGGCTTTCTAATAAAAAAGATAAGTTTTTAGTGTAAAAAAATGAACACAATTGCTAAATGATTTTTTCACCTTCACTTACCATAAATTTCACCAAGACCTTGTTCGTTTTTCGGTAAGTTACTTACCTAGGTAAGTGCGTTTACCCATGTTCTTTTATTTTCAAAGTAAATAAGACAATGCCCATTTAGCCATAAAAATTCATTATTAAGAGGGGCATTTTTGTCCCATCCAATTGTTGGCAAGTTTCCCCCAGGTGGGAAATCACCAATTGGATAAGTGATACATAGGAAAAGAAATTTTCCTTGGTCCCCACACAAATCTAAAAAAAGGAACATGGGTTTCTTCGTCAATGGGATTCACAATTCCTTTGACCAACTTTCCCCCCTCTCAAAATCCAACAAACAAACTCC